ATCAGCTCAACCTTCACCCCCGGGTCTCTCGGCCAGCGATGTCCCCAGCCTTGCTGTGGACGGGGAAGGTTGGTGATGCGTCTGTGTTCCGTGTCTGGGGATCTCGGGCGTTTGTCCGCGACTTGTCTGCGGACAAGCTGTCCCCTCGTGCTGCTCCCTGTGTCTTCCTTGGCTTCCCCACTGACGCCCCAGGGTGGCAGTTTTACCACCCCTCCTCTCGTCGTGTTCTGTCCTCCCAGGACGTCACGTTCGACGAGTCAGTCCCCTTCTACCGTCTCTTCCCCTACCGCACTCCTTCCCTCCCCCCTCCCCCGGACTTCCTTGTGCCGGTTCCCCCCCCGGTAGACCCCCTCCCCCCTCAGGTTCCTGCCCCCTCAGGTGTGTCCCAGGTAGACGCCGTTGACCCGGTCGAGGTTACTGGTGACTCTGGTGCTGCTGCGGGTGCTGAGCCTGGGGGTGCTGACTCTGGGGGTGCTGTGCGCGGGGGTGCTGAGCCTGGGGGTGCTACTGCTGGGGGTGCTGGGCCTGAGGGTGCTACTGCGGAGGGTGCGGAGCCTGGGGGTGCTGAGCCGGGGGGTGCTGTGCCTGGAGGTGCTGGGTCTGGGGGTGCAGGGTCGGGAGCTGCTGAGCCTGGGGGTGCTGAGCTGGGAGCTGCTGAGCCTGGGGGTGCTGCGTCTGGAGCTGCTGAGCCTGGGGTTTCTCCTGCTGCTGCGTCTCGCCGGGAGCCCCTCTCTCCACAGGAGCTGCGCGAGTGGTTCGCTCGCCGCTGGAGGCGTGCTGCTGAGTCTGGAGGTGCTGCTGGAGCTGGAGCTGGAGCTTCTTCGACCGTCGAGGGTGCGGGTGCAGCCGGTCCCGGAGCTGCTGGCCCTGCAGGTCCTCCTGGAGCTGGAGTTGCTGAGGGCGTTCGTGCTGAGCCTGCTGCTGTTGGTCCTGCCGCTGGAGGTGTGGGTGGCGCTGGTGCTGTCGCTGAGGGTGCTGGTGCTGTCCCTGCTGAGTCTGGAGCTGCCGCGCGGCCTCGGCCGTACTTCGTTCCGCTCCTTCAGCAGGTTCTTGGTCTTTCTCCTCCAGTAGAGGGTCCACCGCCTGTCCAGTCGCAGCCCCTACTGGAGTCTTCCTCTCCACTGCCTGCTCCCTCTCCTTACACTGGTCCTACTGGAGGTCTTGCTGAGCGTCGTGAGCCTGCGTCTCGTCCCGCGTCGCCTGTTCGTGCTGCTCGCGCTAGTGGTCGCAGTTCGCGTCAGCGTCCTCCTCCTGTCCCTGGCACGCACCGGATGTCTTTACGTCCGTCCACTGCTCCTCTGCGTGCCCCTTTGCCTTCTCCTCCTGAGTCCTCTCTTCCTGCGCTTGCGGACCCTGAGTCGGACTCTCTTCGTGCTGCCAGTCCCACTGTCACGCGTCTGCTTGCTACTGTCGTCACTGACCCCTCTTTTGAGTCCACTGCTGCGTCTGCTCTAGTCGCTGAGCTCGTCGACTTTGCTGCTCGCTGTCGTCTCGACTACGCTGCTAGTCTTGTTGCTGAGTCTGCGTCTGTCTGTCCTCCGTCCGTCGGGGGTGAGTGTGCTCTTGGCACGGACGTCCTAGAGGACAGGCAGGCGGAGTTACAGTGTCTAGCGGCTGCTTCACCTCATCTCGCGTCTGTACTGCTTGCCCCTGAGGGAGACCCGGATGCACTAGACATCCCGACTCCGCGTTCTTACGCGGAGGCCGTAGAGGGTCCCTACTCCTCTCAGTGGCAGGCAGCTATGGATGCAGAGATGGCTTCCTGGAAGTCCACAGGCACCTACGTTGACGCGGTTCCCCCTCCTGGGGCGAACATCGTCAGTGGCATGTGGATCTTCAGGGTGAAGCGGCCGCCGGGCTCTCCACCTGTCTTCAAGGCACGGTACGTTGCTCGTGGCTTCAGTCAGCGGCAGGGAGTTGACTACTTTCAGACCTTCTCTCCCACCCCGAAGATGACTACTCTTCGGGTGCTGCTGCACATAGCCGCTCAGCGCGACTACGAGCTTCACTCTCTCGACTTCAGCACTGCGTTCTTGCAGGGTAGCCTGCACGAGGAGATCTGGCTTCGCCGTCCACCTGGCTTCACTGGGACTTTCCCTCCTGGCACCCAGTGGAGCCTCCGACGGCCAGTCTACGGTCTTCGCCAGGCACCGCGTGAGTGGCACGACACACTGAGGACTACGCTTGCGGCTCTTGGGTTTGCTCCTTCTACTGCTGACCCGTCGCTGTTTCTTCGCACCGACACTTCCCTGCCGCCGTTCTACATCCTCGTGTACGTCGACGACCTGGTCTTTGCCACAGCGGACACTGCTGGACTCGCCTACGTGAAGTCCGAGCTGTTGAAGAGACACACGTGCACAGACCTGGGTGAACTGCGCAGCTACCTTGGCTTGCAGATCACTCGGGACAGAGCACGCCGCACCATTACCTTGACTCAGTCACACATGGTGCAGCAGGTCCTTCAGCGCTTCGGCTTCACGTACTCCTCGCCTCAGGCCACTCCTCTGCCTACTCGCCACTCACTCTCAGCTCTGCCTTCGGATGAGTCCGTAGAGTCGAGTGGTCCGTATGCGGAGCTTGTTGGCTGCCTCATGTACCTGATGACCTGCACACGACCTGACCTTGCATACCCTCTGAGCATTCTTGCACGCTATGTTGCTCCTGGGAGACACAGACCGGAGCACATGGCTGCAGCGAAGAGGGTATTGCGCTACCTGTGCAGTACGTCAGGCATGGGGCTAGTGCTTGGAGGGCGGAGTCCAGTGGTCCTTACCGGCCACGCGGACGCTTCTTGGGCTGACGACCAGGCTACGCAGCGGTCGTCACAGGGTTACACCTTCAGCCTTGGTTCCGGCTCTGTCTCGTGGCGGTCTACTCGCTCGTCTTCGGTTCTCGGCTCCAGTTGTGAGGCTGAGATCTACGCCGGGGCCATGGCTGCACAGGAGCTTCGCTGGCTCACCTACCTGCTGACTGACCTTGGAGAGCCGCCTCGTTCTCCTCCAGTGCTGTACGTAGACAACAAGGCTATGCTGGCCTTGTGTCGAGAGCAGCGCTTGGAGCACAGAACGAAGCACATTGCTCTCCGCTACTTCCTTGCTCGTGAGCTGCAGCAGCGTGGTCAGTTGCGACTTGCGTACGTGGCCTCTGAGGCCAACACTGCTGATGTGTTCACCAAGGCACTTGCGCCTTGTGACCATCAGCGCTTCTGCACCCAGCTGGGTCTTGTGCCTGTCTTGCCTCACTTGCTCTCCTCTTGACTTCACTTGTACTGTGACATATATATATACCTGCTCTTGCTTGTCTAGCTTTATATATATGTCTGTACTCTTGCTTGTGAACTGGCCTTTGGCCTTGCTCTTGTGCTCGGACTGTGTGGTGACTTTGTGATCCACCCTGAGCTTTGCTTTGTCTTGCTTGACTGGTCTTGTGACCCCTTGTTCTCCCCCACTTTGCCTATGGGGGTGTGTGAGAACATATCTATAGCTTATACTGCTGTGTAGGCTGTAGTGGGGTATCCCATAGGGGGTACAACCCAGTTAGGGTTTCATATTTGTACTGCTTTCATTCATAGTTCATTCATTCCTGTTTTCCTATTATCACACTCCTTGCTGGTGCTGCTCGTAGAAGGACATGAAGGAGAAGAACTTTTCCATCATGCTTGGATCGAAGCCTGCGGGCGTTTCCGTAGACCCAGCTGCTGGTCTCGTGGTAGTCCCTTCCTCTGTCTGTAGACCAGAGACAGGAGGTGGAGTAGGAGTAGTGCCTGGAGAGCCGTTGGAGGAGCTCCTCTCCTTCCTTGCAGACATGTCTTCTTGTATTGAGTGTTAAAAAGGAAAACAACTTTAAAACTCTAACTGCTCTCATACCATGTTGGGCTGAAGTGCCCTAGGATATTTGTAGAGTTTAAGTCTGAGTAGAATTGTTGTAGCGGAAGCGTTTGAATGAAAGTACTTTAACCACCTTGCGCTAGTATGTGAGGGCAAAGTAAGTTGATTTAAACAAGCAAATACAAAGGTATATATAAGAGTACAAGGAATACGAATAGATAAGTTAAAACCGTTTTGCTGTTGCGATTCGATACAGTGCGACTCGGGCAACTGCTCAATGTCGAGTCAGTTGTGTGTCCTTGCTGTCGCGCTGTATTCGTCAAGTCAAAGGTCGCTGACCTTTGACCTTCTCGTAACCTCCAGGCGGTTACCCTAACCTCCGAGGGTTGACTCGCGATGCTTCGATTCGGACTGCTTCGCTAGTGTCCTGAGTTTCGACACGACAGAGGCGCTTAAGACTTATTATTCCCAACAACAAGAACACAGGTCCCCAGGCTAATCACTGTGCTCCCAAGGCATGCCGCATAACCCAATCCACTCGAGACAGCAACCACACCATTCAGCTAACCTTGGATGGGACCCCAATTGCCTAGAAAACTCTTTCCTCACGAATCATTTTGTGAACCATCTGCATCCCTGACCGCAACTCATCCCACGCCCCCCACCCATACTGACCAGAAACCCCTCTCTACCCCATCTATCCCCTCTACAACCCATCAAGTTATCCCACACGTTGCTCAAGTCTCCCCAACCAGGCCTCCCACTGCCAAACCCTCAGCTGAACTAGATGAACTAAATGTACGCCTCTTGCTCCATGGGTACCTCCCTGCACTTCCTCTGCCCGCCCTCCATCCGGCACGCCTTCACCACCTTCCCCGGCTGCCTCTCCACCTCGCACATACACCCCGGCATGGGGTTCACATGTCCTCCAGCTTCGGCTTCTCCCCAGCCTCCCGCTGCCATGGGCGCTCAGATCACGATTAGATGTACGCCTCTTCCTCCATGGGAACCTCCCTACACTTCCTCTACGCCCCCTCCATCCGGCACGCCACAGCCTTGCCTGGCTGCCTCTCCACCTTGCACATGCACCCTGGCATGGGGTTCGCATAGAAGTTCTCCTCCAGCTTCAGGTTCTCCCCGGCCTCCCACTGCCAGGGGCGCTCTGATCCACGATTAGATGTACGCCTCCTCCTCCTGGGGCACCTCCCTGCACTTCCTCTGCCCGCCCTCCATTCGACATGCCTTCACCGCCTTCCCTGGTTGCCTCTCCACCTCGCACATGCACCCCGGCATGGGGTTCGCATAGAAGTTCTCCTCCAGCTTCGGATTCTCCCCAGCCTCCCGCTGGTGAGGCCCCCCCACGCGCCCTTTGTGGTGCTTCCGGATTTCCTTGCGCACCGCGTTCCAGCTCATCTCGCCCGCCTTGAACTGATCTAGCAGCCTCACCACCGCCTCCCTGATTGGGGGGGGGAGGGGATACGGGGGAAAGAAGCATCACAAGGGGATTGAATTGAACTGGTCTGTCCAATGGTGAGGGCCCCCACACACGCCTCTTGTGCTGCTTCCGTATCTCCGTGCACACAGCGTTCCAGCTCATCTCACCCGCCTTGAACTGGTCTAGCACCCGCACCACCACCTCTCCAGTAGGGGGGTTAGGCATGACGGTCTTATTAGAGGTTTGGTGCTTGTGCACTGCTTTCCAGCTCATCTCATCTCGCCAGCCTTGAACTGGTCTGGCAGCTGCATCACCTCCTCCCACTCTGTTGCAACTTCCCTATTGTCCTCACCTGTCGGGGATGGTTGTCTTCCTGTGCCCTTCAAACCGCCTGTGGCCCTGCATGGCGCGAGCCATGTTGTCCTCATATGCGTATGCCAACACGTCACTCTCCATCTCCTATCTTCACCCACCCCATCACCCTCTGATGCTACTATTCCCCTCACCTGTCGGGAATGATCGTCTTCCTGTGCCCTTCGAACCGCCGGTGCCCCTGCACAGCTCTCGCCATGTTGCCTTCATACGTGTATGCAAACACGTCACTCTCCACGGCCACTGTGTAGTCCACTGCTGCCAGCCTGTTCTGATACCCTCCCAGCGCTGCCAGCTCCTCTGGGGTGGCGAGAGTGGAGTGCGTGAACGTGTTGGGGTAGTACCGCTTCAGCTCCTGGCGAGGGGTTGAGGAGAAGGACAAGAAGATAGAGAAGGCGCTGGAGGGATTGAAAAGAATGGCAAGAAAACGCAGGGAAGGGAACGGAGTGGCGAGAGTGGAGTGCGTGAACGTGTTGGGGTAGTACCGCTTCAGCTCCTGGCGAGGAAAAAGAGGAGGAGGGGTTGAGCACAGATACAGGTGAGTTAGAAGTAAAAAACAACTTATAGCACGTTGTTAATTCTGTTTTTGAAGGGGTGAGCAGGCATGAAAAGAATCCTGTTCTTCTTCTCACCGTGAGGCCTTTAGAGCCGTAGATGTCCCCAGCAGCAATGTATATCAACGTCTTCTTAGGAAACCCCATGGCGTGCAGAAACAGTGCGGTCTCCTTGGGCGTGAGGGGGCACGCGCCCTCCTTGCGCCTTGCCTCCCCATCGATGTCCTTCTCCTTCCACCGTGAGTTGTTCAGCCGCATCTCCCTCAGCTCCCCACTCTCCCACCGGCTCAACCCGTGGTCGCACCCTGTGAATGCCAACATGTCCTTCTCGTACCTGCAAGGGAAAAGGAATATGTGGGGAGGGGGATGGGGGGGAGAGGGGAAACGGAATCAGCAAGGGTTGATTCTTCTTGAGAGGCTGCAGGAACAGCACGGTCTCCTTGGGCGTGAAGGGGCACGCGCCCTCCTTGCGCCGTGCCTCTCCGCCGATATCCTTTCGTACCAATGCAGTGCATGCTGTAGGCATGACTCTCACGAGGATAACCCCAAGCTCCCACCTGAGGTGCAGTGCTCTGTAGCGCTCTAGCTTCCTCAGTCGGGCGACCAGGTTCCCAGCGATACAAAAGAGAGGGTGTATGTGTACCGTAGGGAGTCGACTCAAAAGTCACCCCAGCGATACGGGAGATGGTGTCTGCGTACCGTAGGGCGCGATAATTTCTCGGCATCAGCCCTGTCAAACCCCAACCCGACCTTACCCTATCTCCTCACCTCAGGTGCAGCATGATGTAGGGCCCGAGTTTCCTCAAGCGCACAACCAGGTTGCAAGCAACACAGGGAATGCACCAACCAGGCTTGTGTTCTTCACCAGGACAGTGGGTGCTGCAGGCACACACCTCAAGTGCAGCGCGATGTAAGGCCCGAGAAAGAAGTAGTGTTTTCAGACGTCTCAAAACACTACTTCTTTCACGTCACCGGATTTGCGTTCTTCACCAGGCAGTGGGTGCTGCAGGGCAGGCACATACCTCAAGTGCAGCGCGATGTAGGGGCCGAGCTTCCTCAAGCGGGCGATCAGGTTGCCGGCAACGCCCGAGATGGTGTTGGTGTAGCGCAGGGCGCGGTAGTTGGCTCGGCAGCGCAGCCGCTGGATGGACTCGGGCATGCCGTTGTTGGCCAGCCGCGAGTCCGTCAGGGGGAAGCGCATCACCCGGTGCTTCTTCAGACGCAGAAGCAGGTCCTCTTGGTAGTAGGAGAACTGGGGGAAGAGGGGGGGGGGGGTGGAAATGGGGTATGCAAGGCGAAGTGGGTGAAGAGGAAGCACATCACGCGGTGCTTTTTTTCAGTCAGAGGATACTCGGTAGTAGGAGAAGTGGGAGGGAGTTCGACAAAGGGGGTAGGGGGGTACGATTGTGTGGGGAATGGAGGAGGATAATGGAGAAAGGCTAGCCGGGAGTCTGTCAGAAGCAGGCCTGTTGTTTCGTTTTGGGCCCCCCGGACAAATCAGGGGGCCCGGCATGTATGACCCTGTATTTAGCAGGGTTGCGGCGAATCTCGGCCCTTTAGGCTTCAGGGCTGGAAAATTTTCCTCCCTTGAATCAGGTTTGGCGCGAAAAAATCGGGAGCCTCATTTCAACTACCAAGCTTACAACTACGTTTGAGATCAACGACAAGCAAGCAAACACGACAGGAAGAGAAATAGTTAGCGTCATATCACTAAGCACGCTTTGCAGTCTTCCTAGCCTTTGCAGAACCGATGATCGTCTGCACATCTACTACCCAACCTTCAGGGTAGTTCTTGTGCACTTCTACCCAACCTAACCGTCACCCACTCCACAGAGAGCGAGCTGTGATTGGTTTAAGCACAAGTTCTAGGCTGAGTTGAATTTGTGGCCCAACCAAGCAACTCGAAATTGCCTTGTTGGATGCAATCAGGTTAGAAACGAGGGGGAAAGGAGAGGAGTGTTGGGGGGGGGGAGGGGAGTGGAAGGGGGGTCTCGAGAGATCTTGTTCCAGGGCTCGCCTAAAATCTGCCCTTTACACACCAAGCCTGAGCCCGAAATCAGCCCTGTAAAGAATCAGGGCCAGAATATTTCCAACCCATCAATTTCAGTTTTCAAGGGCAACCCAGCCCTGGAATTCAAGGTCCAGCAGGGCAAACGCCCTGCAAGCGACAGCCCTGGTCAGAAGGAACCGCATCACCCGATGCTTCTTCAGGCGCAGGAGAAGCGGTAGCAGGAGAACTGGGGGACGAGCGGGAGGAACGGGGAATGAATGACAGGGCGCGACGGCGGACGACTCTGTGGGGCAGCTCCTAGGTGTATGTATCGATACATATATCCCAGTGGGCACTCACCGGCGACCAGGAGATGGGGAACTTTTCGAGCACACGGCGGTGGGCCACTCTGCAGGGCAGCTTATACATGAATACACACACAACTATATGCAATACTAAAACTTGGGGCGTACCGGCGACCAGGAGATGGGGAACTTTTCAAGCACGCGGCGGTGGGCCACTCTGCGGGGCAGCTCCCTGACCACGCGGATGTCGTCCTTGAGCGTCTCAACAAAGTGCTCCAGGTCGAATATGTCCTCGAACTCGCTGACGTGGCAGACAGGGACGGTGTGAGGGGTGAGGGAGAAGTAGAAGGTTTGGTCAAGGCACAAGAGGGTGATGTCCTTGAGCGTGGCAATGAAGTGGTCCAAGTCGAATATGTCCTCAAACTCGCTGGGGAGGGGAGCGGAAGTGGGAGTGGGAGGAGAGTAATGGTGAGCGAATGTGAAACAGTGAGGGCACTGGAGGAGTCCTCTAGCATGGCCACGAAGTGCTCCAGGTCGAATATGTCCTCTAACTCGCTGAAGAGGAGAGGGGAGCGTAAGTGGGAGTGTGTGGAGAACAAAGTGGTCCACCGAGCATGTGAGGATGCCCCCTGTGCAGGCACAGGACACGCATGCCTGCGGGCGGATCAGACAAAGCTCAACCTCCGGCATTACAAGGATTCTACTGCGCATTTTGCCTTCTGAAACGCCCAACAAGGCGTGTACCTGTGCCTGCAAGGGCCTCTGAGCAGCTAATGCGAATACCTGGGGTCAGGCAGACGAGATGAAGGTCTGGTCCAGCTCCAGCACCACTTGAAGGACCACTTGAGTGGATACCTGGGGTCGGACCAGAAGGAGGCGTGGTTCAGCTCGGGCACCACAAGGAACAAGTGGTTGTACACCTGTTCATGCAATGATCTCTGTGCAGCACGTGCACATACCTGGGGTCGGACCAGAAGGAGGTGTGGTCCAGCTCCGGCACCACAAGTGTGGCGTTCATGATGCGAGCCACTGCCACCATGTCACAGATCTGTGTGTGGGATGGGCATTGGGTACAGTGGGAATAGATAAGAGTAGGAGGGAGCAAGCACGCAGCAAACAGCCATAACTGAAAAGCGGCTGTCCTCGCGCGTTCTGCCTTCCTCTGCCTCTTTTTAGATTCATGGCGCGACAATAGGCCTGACTGGAATGTCCTTATCGATTTTCACGAGAGCTGCATGGAAACATCCTTGTATTATAGGAGCTCTGAGAGATGATTATGCTGGTTCGAAATGAACACTCACCGCAGCTCGCATTTGGTTCAGACCCCCATTCGCCGTCACCAAAAGGTAGCCATTCGTCGCTGACTTGGCGGGGACTGGGAAGGGCGGGAGCAGCAGGGGAACAATTATCGTCTCTCAGGAATTTCCCATCGTCTCTTGAGGGCAATCGCTTTGGTCCCTCATGCACACCACCAATAATAGGGAATCCTACTGCAAGTTCTCTGGCTCGCCACTCATCCCCCATCCGCAACAAACAGCAAGTCACACTCAAGAACGCACGTCACGACGATTCGTACTTGAGCACGCGGCAGAACCAGGAAGCATGCGACCTACCTTTATGCGTCTTGGAGCGTGCGATGCACTGTTCGATGTGCTCCACTGTAGGACTTCTCCACAGAATCTTCTCCGACGTCCGTCGCGGAGCGTGCGACCCAGACGCGTTGAAACCAGACGTCCACATGGCGCCAATCGCGGACGACAGGAGAAGCGAAGACGGGGAGGAAGAGGAGGAGGAGGAGGAAGGAGAGGGGAACGAGGAGGAGAAGGAAGGAGAAGGAAACGAAAAGGAAGCTGACGGAGGTGACGTGAGACGCTCTGTATCAGAATCTGCTACAGTCAGCGTGGAGATGACTGGAGAATCTGCTCTAATTCCGGAACGCGCCTTTTCCCCTCGTACGAAATCGTCCCCTTCCCGTTCGTCCCTCTCCGCTCCTCCCCCACCCGCTCCCACCGCACCAATCACTGCCGAGGCGGCTGCTGCTGCGCCTGCCACAGCTGCTGCGGCCTGAGCCGCTTCGCCTAGAGCCCCGTCCAGCATATTGATTTCGCTGTTTTCGCCAGGCGTTCCAACCGCTTCGCGAAGATTCGCCGCGTTTCGCAACGTCTCAGAACTAGTTCCAGGCGCGCCATGAGAATTCGGAGAGGCTGCAGAAGACGTCAATGCCGTGGAATCTGGTGTGTGCTCGGCTCGCTGATACACGACAACATTGGGGAAAAAGGAAAAGCGGATGAATCAGTCCAGACATTTGATGAACCACGCGACCAACGAGACGACGCCAGGAACGAAGTGAGTGGTTTCACGATGTATTCCGAGCAGTTCAAGACCCGCACAAGAGATTTTCGCCGCGGCTGGTCCCGCATACGCTAAGTTGAACTCCGCATCCACATGTCGACCTAGATGTGATACAACCCATCCCCTCCTTGCACACACACGCACAACGTCTACATACGCATTGAACCATCTGTTAGAAGCCGTAACCCTTACCTGGGCCTGCAGAGCACGGGTTGAATCCCCAAGGCTGTCAGCAGAACCTGGCAAGTCGGATGACTCGGCTGCTTTTCTCCTTTCAAAAAAAGCATTTTTAGTGCTGCTTGTACTTGTATCCATGTCTTGTTCGGATAATGTCGAGGCGGCGAGTTCAAGTGGTAACGCGGAGGAGGATGAGGGAAGGAGCTTCATCAATCCTCGTGTCTGCAACGACGAGGCCAAAATACCGAATGTAAGAGTACGGATTAGACGACGAAGACGACAAAGAAGACGATAATACAAGAGTTTCGGATTCTCGAGCAGTTAATAATGGTCAACGGGTACACGTACGACGTACCTTATGTAAGGAAGGAATCGACTTTAGCGATGCTCCGACCATGACCAGGCCCACCATCAGCAACAGCATCTTCATGCGAAAATGCACCAAGATTTTCCGGAGGTCTCGCCTTCCGAACCATTTTCTAGCCTCTGGTAATGCAGACGCTAAGGCTGTGCGGGTTTTGGAAGATAGCTGCTTCCGCACCTGACGCTTTCCATCAAGAATCTCAGGCTTCTCTAAACCGGAATTCAATGGGGAGTCCCTAGAATGCTTAGGCAATGCCGTAAATCTCCATGACACCATAGATTCCTGTGCTCTGTCACCACCGGTGCTAATGTTGGCAGTACGAGCAGAGGGAGAGTGTGAATTGACTGCTGGTCCAGCAAGGTCGTGCTGAAAAGGCTGATGAGGGTGAAAATGGTGGCTTGCGCCTTGAAGGTGTGTCAGATTCGCTGGTTGCTCGCTGAGAATGGGTCGATCATTTTCGCACAAGGTTTCGAAGACTGGCCTTTGGCGTCTCGATGCTGCGACTAGAGGGCTTCTCGAGTGTTGCAGCGGACTTGGCAAATCGCGAGTTTTCTGGTTGCTGCTATGAGTACGCTCCTGTAACACCTCTACGAAGGTACTGTCTGCTTCTTGTCCTCTTGGTGTTCTGGGTTCCGTTGCGAGAGGAATAGCCATCTCGACGCTCATCCAAAACTAATTTAGATAAGGACCTTACCAATGGCGCATAGACGAATAACAACGGAAACCCCACCAACTCTTGCTCTGCGTGACAGATTAGCGAACTATCTCGACTATGTCCATCACATCGTCCCTGAACAACACTGCAAAGCTAACGATAACTGGAGAGGCAACGTAAAGTAGGATGACTACCCACGTGTCAGCTCAGCACACGCCACGAGAGTGTTAGAGGCAGTTAGTGGAGCTGTGTGCCAGCGTAGAGGTAGCCATCAGGGACCAGTTGCTGTTTTCAAGGAGACACGGACGCTATGAATGCTCAGTTATGCTCTGCTTCTGATGTTGCTCGAAAGCGTGGGAGACACAGCAAGATGAAGAGATCACATCACATGGCATGCTACCTTCGACTTCATTGGTTCTGGTGCTGAGCTGACCTAGGTGTTTGGTCACTGGGTGTTTGGTCACTGGGAGTACAACAAAAAGGATTTGTTCGGATGCAATCAAAACTTATATGGTAAAAAGTGCAAGATTGAGATTCACGACCACGATATACCGAAGCTTAAGAATCTGGAACCATCGGAAACCTTGTCCAACCAGTCAAAACCCCGAATTCGAGAGCCAAAGTCCAAGTTTGTACCCAAAACACGTCTTGATAAAGCCGAGTGTTCGTGGACAGTGAAACCTGGACACAAGAACAAACCGAGGTTTCAAGGAAAGCAGGAAGCCGAATGGCGGGAATGGGGGAGCCGCTCCAGGCAGGTGCTTGCGGTTCGATGCGGTCCCGCGCCGCGACAGGCTCTGCCTAGCGTTCCTCACGTCGCTGTGGCTGCTCCAAGCAGATTGGCAAGCTGGAGGTTGAAGGCTGACCGTCAAGCCCAGTGTTCCGTCTGACATTCGTTAATGCAGAAAACCGATGCACGCAAACTCGCATTTCATTACATTTCGCATTTGTGCGTGCAGCCAATTCAGAGATTACATTGACACTATAATGTTATGTATCGGAGCATCCAATAGAGCTTCATCGTAGAAATGTTCCACATTCATAGGTTGCCAGGAGTACATTTCTCAGCTGTTGCGCTTCGATCACATGAGCCAGCTGCTGTGATCAGAAGTTGATCGTGGCCTAGGATCTACTCAGGAAGGTTCGCACGCAGAGGAGTGATGTTGGTGGGCCCTTGACCTCAATAGCAGAGTGAATGTAAAATGCTCTGAGATGATTTAGAACATGCAAATGCAGCAAATATAAATATGAGTACAGGGGAAATGAAACGACTTAGCTAGCCATGTACTCTAAGGGGTACATCCCCTTATTCAAATACATTCCCAACCGTGCGGCGCGAACAGTTACGAAACTGTTCCCGTCGAAAACCATCCTGCCTGCAGCTGCCTGATGCTGTCTGCTCCGACGGTCCAGATGCGCCCCAACTGTCTGACGCTTCGAGTCGTTTCCAACCGTATGACGCTTCGCGTTCATTCGCGATACTGCGTGCTTCTCTTTGCTGTGGTGAGGAGTGCACAGCAATATTCAAGTATTACTATTCGTAACACCCCCCTTCACTCCTGGCCGTAACTCGACTTGACCTGCTTGACCACGCCGCTGAGTTCGGAGCAGTGTTGATACTGCTGGCGTGGCAGTCGCTTCGTGAGGAAGTCTGCTGCCATATCACCGGTCGGGCAGTAGGTCAAGTTGACCTTGCCCTTGTCCACCTCATCCTTCACGAAGAAGTACCGCAGCGCAATGTGCTTGGTCCGGTTGATGAAACCAGGTTTGTTCGCGATGCGAATCGCGCTCTGGTTGTCGCAGTGAAGGCGAAATGTGGGCGAAGCTGGAATTTTCGCCTCTTGCAGGAGTTCCTGCAAGTAGAGGCCTTCGCGACCTGCTGCGGTTGCTGCGACGAATTCCGCTTCGGCTGACGACAGGCCAACCAGCTCCTGCTTCTGCGAGTTCCAGGAGATTGGTCCCGTTGGCTCGAGTCGGAACAGGAAGCCAGTCCTGGACCGTCGATTATCGGGGTCTGCTGCGTGATCGGCGTCCACATAGCCGATGAGGTTGAAGGATGGAGTTGGTGCAGTTGAGTAGCACAGCCCAATCTTGGGCGTTGAGACGAAGAACTGAAGGGCACGGTGCAGATCCAGAAGAGAAGATTCTCAGCCGTTGGTTTGCGTGAGTACTGCGCCAGCTGACTGGCGATGTACGAGAGGTCTTACATGCACGTGACAGAGGCGAAGAGGAGGCATCCCAACTGCTGTTGGTAAGTCTCAATACTAGCAGGGGATAGGGGTTTGTTGTCGGGTTTGTGGTTCGGTCCGGGAGTTCGGTAGGGAGTTGAGAGAGGTGCAGGTGAAATGTTGAACCGCTTCCCTAACTCCTCTGCGTACTTAGCTGCTGAGAGATGAATGGCCTCAGGCGCGTAGGAGATGTTGAGGCCTAGAAACTGCTTCACCTCGTAGTTGCACGTGATGTCGACGCGCCCCGCCAAGGCCTTCTCGAACTGCTCGAGAAGCTCGTTGTTTGAGCCTGTGTAAAGTAGGTCGTCGACGTACACCGTGTGGAGAATGTATTCCCCGCGGAATTCGCGGCGATACATCCCTGGATCGTGCGGCATCTGCTTGAATCCGATTTCAAGCAGGATGTTGTGCAGGTACTGCTGCCACAGCCTTGGAGCCTGTTTGATCCCGTAGAGTGACTTGCGCAGTTGGCACACGCGCGAGTCCCTTCCGCCGTAGGTGTGCGGCTGCTCCACGTAGATCACGGCGTCCACTAACGCGTACATGAACGCATTCTTCACGTCGATCTGGCGGAGTGGTAGGTGCCTTACGGCTGCAAAGGCAAGGAGGATTCGAACGGAGGTATGGCGGCTAACTGGGGCGAACGTCTGGTTGAAGTCGATGCCACGCCTCTGATCGTAGCCGCGAACCACCCAACGTGCCTTGAAGCGCTCGATCGTTCCGTCTTCTGCGGTTTTCACGCGGAAGACCCATTTCCCCGAGAGGATTCTTGCGCTTTTGATCGCCGCGCGGTCGACTAGCACCCAGGTGTCTCGTGACTCTAGCGCCTTGATCTCTGCGTCCATTGCTTCGCGCCATTCCTTGCTGTGTGGTCCAGAAAGAGCTTCGCGCAGATTTCGGGGCTCGATGACACGTGGTGCCTTCAAAGTTGCGGTGTGAAGCCTGAGCAGCTGCAGTCCTGAGATAGTGCTGTCTGTGAGATTTGTAGAACAGGAATGTGTGAACTATGAATGAAGGCAGTACAAATATGCAACCCTAACTGGGTTGTACCCCCTATGGGATACCCCACTACAGCCTACACAATAGTATAAGCTATAGATTTGTTCTGACACACCCCCATAGGCAAAGTGGGGGAGAACAAGGGGTCACAAGACCAGTCAAGCAAAGCAAAGCAAAGCAAGCTCGGGGTGGATCACAAAGTCACCACACAGTCCGAGCACAAGAGCAGGGCCAGAGGCCAGTTCACATGCAGGAGTACAGACATATATATATATATATAAGACTAGACAAGCAAGAGCAGGTATATATATATGTCACAGTACAAGTAAAGTCAAGAGGAGAGCAAGTGAGGCAAGACAGGCACAAGACCCAGCTGGGTGCAGAAGCGCTGATGGTCACAAGGCGCGAGTGCCTTGGTGAACACATCAGCAGTGTTGGCCTCAGAGGCCACGTACGCAAGCCGCAACTGTCCACGCTGCTGTAGCTCACGAGCAAGGAAGTAGCGAAGAGCAATGTGCTTCGTTCTGTGCTCCAGACGCTGCTCTCGACACAAGGCCAGCATGGCCTTGTTGTCTACGTACAGCACTGGAGGAGAACGAGGCGGCTCTCCAAGGTCAGTCAGCAGGTAGGTGAGCCAGCGAAGCTCCTGAGCAGCCATGGCCCCGGCGTAGATCTCAGCCTAACAACTGGAGCTGAGAACCGAAGACGAACGAGTAGCCCGCCACGAGACAGAGCCGGAACCAAGACTGAAGGTGTAACCCTGTGACGACCGCTGCGTAGCCTGGTCGTCAGCCCAAGAAGCGTCTGCGTGCCCTGTAAGGACCACTGGACTCCGCCCTCCAAGCACTAGCCCCATGCCTGACGTACTGCACAGGTAGCGCAATACCCTCTTCGCTGCAGCCATGTGCTCTGGTCGGTGTCTCCCAGGAGCAACATAGCGTGCAAGAATGCTCAGAGGGTATGC